TGTGTCTTCCRGCTTAAAAAGCTGCACCCTACCTCCAAGGCTAAGTGAGAATGACAGAAGAAGAAACCACCTTTGCAAAGAGAAGGCAGATGGCTTTTTCCCCCACCACGCATACAACACTTCAACAGCATGAGCTCCCGCATTTATTCAAGAAAAAAACACCACCAGAGATATTTTGTATACGTACATAGTAATTATGAATTAGTGTCTTCTCGGAAGCGTGGGCACATGGCATTACTGTGCCTAATGACTGGCCTGCCATAACTGCTTGTCAGCAGGCACAGCTCCACCAGCTGTAATGGGCCATACCTCATTGCACAAAAGCCAAAGTTGGCCTACAGGTCATCATCGCTCCCTGAGGAGCTGCTATGGTCATCAGTTCAGACTTCCAAGTCCTCCAAGTCTTGCCGTATGGGGCCATCATGTTGTTCCGAATACTTCTCATATCTTTTTGCTTACAACAGAAAGGAAGGTGCTCTGAGAATCTGCTGCTGAACCTGCACCTGAACCTAAATGCTGCTGAAGCATTTAGGTGCCTGCTGTGAAATGGATACAGCCACACAAGAACAGAAATATAAAATTTCTAGATTTATTGAAGTTAGATATAATGACTCAAATTAAACTTTACTAAAATTCAGTACTTTTGATTTTATTTGCATTCAGCTTCRGAAATAGGAACAAAGACTTCACCATCACAAGTACAAATGGCAAAAAAGAAACACGTGCTTTTCTTGTGAGAATCCTGGAAAATACCAAAACGTTTCTAAAATCCTATACTGCACATTTTATTCACTGCTTCAATTCTTGGATTGCTCTTCTGGGACAAGTCGCTGCATATCTCTTTGGATTTCTTTTTCCATGTTCCATCTTTGATTACCTCTCTGGAAATGTGACATTGTAAATGGGACAAAAATTGACTTYGATAGTTTTCCATGAGACCTGATATCTTTTGATGCTTCCAAACCCTACAGTAATAGCAACAAAAGATTGATGGTTGACGGAAACTGTTTATCACAGACAGCYACATCCCTTGAGTAATGACAGCAGTTTACACTCAAGCATTAGAAACTGATGAGACTAGAAATCTCTTTCTTTACCTGTCAGGAGAGAGGAAGCAGGGGCAGATTCCTCCTGCCAGTCAGATTCCTGCTGTGCCTCTGCACAGTCAGAAAATGAGACATTCCAATAGATTTCCAAAGAACAGGGTTACTGCTAAGGTAAGCGGATCCTTCCTAGGAGAGAAGAAATTTCACACTTCAGACAGACTACTATATATCTAACTGCTATAAATCATGGTTGTGTTTTTGTTTTCCCCTTCTTTTCTTTTCCCCCATCATACCTGTAAATRACAGAATGAAAAGGAAGAGAGTAGATAGAGAAATCACAGACACCTTGAACATGGCATCTATACTTTTGTGAACCTCAGAATTCCTCTTCTGAGACTGCAGGATCTTTCTTTGTTTTAAAACAGAAAATACAAATAAATTACCTAAAAAAAAAATATAAAGAAAATTGCAAATCCAGCCACTCTCTGTTTCCCTTACCAGAACCTTCTCTTCTGGACCTCATAGACCTGCTTTAATTTGCATTTCATAGATCTTCACAGTTGATTCTTCAACTAGCATAATTAGCCTGTTTCCCTGGGCTAAAAGCAATCCAGCAACCAGTGAGTTTCCTCAAAACAATAACAATAACAAAAAAAGAAAAGACAAAAAAAAAAGCAAAACAAAACAAAAGAATTTGGGAAGAAGAAGGTGATAGCCTAAAGAGTTAAAAGAAACGAGAAAGCACAGATTGTCATCCACATACATTTGCATCATGGCATCATGTAGAAAATTCTAAAGTAAATTCTAAAGTAAAGAGAGCAAAAGGTCCTGGTTGCTACAGTGATTTTATTTTCATGAGGTTTTGAGCCTCAGTCCCTGACAAAGCTCCCACATTATTTACTATCTATAAGGGATTTTTTTTTTATTATATTTTAAATTAGTGCAGAACTATGTTCCTACTACTGAAATAAGAAACCTGGCACCTACTTTCTCATTTCTGGAACTTCTTCTACCTATAAAATGTGACATGCATCGCCATGACAGTTTTAAGGCTGATTGGATTTGTTGCACCTTTTTCATTTTTGTTTTTGTATTCCATTATAGTAAACACCTTTAATTTGTCTAGTTAAAGCAATAAGCAAAGAAATGACAAGATTTGGTGTACTAAAAAAGTCTCAACTGACCCTCAGAGTTACATTCTTGGTTTCGCGTTGTCAAGATAAATAGCAAGAATTGCTAATAAAATAGAAATATTGTTGAAAGATTTGGGATGTGGGATAGAAGTGACTTTACAATATATATTCTAGAAAATTAGATTAATTTTTGACTCTTGCTATTTAATCTCTTTTCTCTCTAAGACCCTTTAAGGCCAATGATAAAATATATATGTATAAAATAATTAAAGATTAGGTTACTTTTTAGAATTATATATCTCTTAAAAGGAACTTTTCTATATTTCATTCCTATTAAAGATTTCTTTCTCACATGCTTATTCCCTGCAGCTCTTTCCACAAAACYGAACCATTTGCAAGACAGGAAAATGCTAAAAATACAAAAATAACCATAAGTATTCTGCTAGAGAGCAAGTTCTAGAAAACCACAGCATTTTAAGTTTAACTATATTCATCATGATAACATTATACATATGTAATCTTACTGTAGACAACACCTTTCATTTCTGCTGAATGATTTGTCCAATCATGAATGAAGTTCCRTGCTCTCTGAAAGGAAATTCTGTCCAATAGATGGTTGTTACAGAGTATCACTTTTAATCAAGGTTTGAAATTATGCAATTGTATTAAAAATGTGTAGCTCATAAAAACCTTATATTTTCTTTCTGCAGGATTTGTTCTGGTGACTTCAAAGATGTAAAATAAGTATTTGACAAGGTAAAATCACAAAATAAGTTCAGTTAGAGATGACTTTTGTAAGAAGTCATCTATTTCATCTCCCTGCTTAAAGTCATGTCAGTTTCAAAACAGGGTCAAGATGCTCAGGGCCGTGTCTAGTGGAGCTTTGAATAGCTCCAGCCATGGCCGTTCCAGCACCTGTCTGGGCACCTCTTCAGATGTTCAGTCATCCTCTCCATGAAGAATTATTTCTTTGCACCTAGGCACAATATACCTACCTGTGGTCTGTGGCTGCATAACCTGTTGCTTTGCAACTGCAAGATTTTGACTGTCTCTTCTGTAGCGTACACTAAGATAGCTGGAAGCAGTCATTATATCCTGCCTTGCCCCAAACCTCTCCATAGCTCCTCATACATATGTGCACCAGCTTCTAACAAGCTCAGCTGCCTTTTGCTAGATTTTCTCATACCAAGGGTCCAAAACAGGATAAAATACTCCAGATGTGGTCTCAAAATACCAAAAAAAAAAAAAAAGGGAATAGTTGTTTCAGTCACCCTGTTGACTTCACACTTTCTAATTGAACAGATATGTGCTTGGCTCTCATCCTTACAGGGGCACGCTACTAATTCTATTTGGTCTGATTCTGAGTCAGTGCTCAATCTGAGCTATTCTTGGGTTATCCCAGCCTAGGTGCAGGACTTTTTTATCTTTTTTGAACTTAGCATAATTTCCACCAGTCCATTTCTGAATAGCAGCCCTGCGTATTATCCATGAACTTCCTGATGGTGGGTTTCATCCCATTATTCAGGTCACTAGKGAAGATATTAAAAAACATCAGCCCTCTTGCCATTCAAATGGGAGTCCATGGGTGTGCAAACACCTTTTCTTCTCAAAGGTTTCYATAAAGCAAGCCAAGAATCACAAAGTGCACATCCACACTATTGTGAAGAATTTTGTTATATTTGTATCTAGAAACAATATAAAATMAAATAACACACAACACTAAAAATAATCACAATGACCAAAACTAATTTATTTTAGCACTACTTTGTAGTTCTATTTACTTGGAATATATTTGCTGTGAGTTTCCTATTTGTCATAAACTCTTAATCTAGATAATTGCACATCAGGATGATCATGGCCAATAACTGTGTTTGATTTCTCTCTTAATTTGTGACTTGGACAAAACTACATTTACTATAAATTACTATTTTCATACCTATACTGATAGATTATCTATCCTGAGGAGTTTTGCAAAACTATTTGCTAAAAGATGTATCTATCACTTTGTTAGACTCTCAATTCCGGCAGTCACTGTGGCTGGTAGCACTACAAAAGACAAGAGTTTTGCACTGCTGGTTTAAAGAGCTGGGAAATGACAACAGTTATGCTTTCAAGCTGGCAGAAATCAGGCACATTTAAGAAGTAAAGAGCAATAAAGCTAAGGTTAGATGTACAGCCCTTAGCCCTTGTGCCTTTTGACAACAAGGTACCAGACACTCCAAGAGTGTCTGAAAGAGGATTGCCTCCCAAAGGGGTTACACTTGAGCCTGTCCTARTCACTGCGGAGGAGAGCGGCAGCAGGGTGAGGACACGGCTATTGCGCGCTCCGAGCTCCCGCCGCGTATTTTCCCGGCTGCAGTCAGTTGCGTGCCCCATGCAATCGCTGCTTCACGCACCACAGGGCTGCGGTGTCGGCACGGAGTCCTTCCCAGCTCCACCGGTGCGCAGCCGGAGCCACCCTCGCTGCGCGGCGCTGGGCATGTGTTTAACTCCCCGGCGTATTTAGGAGCTGGGGACAGCAGCATTGGCAGCACCAGCCTTGGCAGGACTCACCGGGACAGGTCAGTCCGCCCCACCGCGTCACCCTCGGGCTCCGATCGGACCCCACAGCCGCCCCTGGAGGGGGAGCCTCCCCAGCAGGGCCAGAGGAGCGAGTGGGACCCGCCAGCAGCTCCTGGGGAAGGCGGCACTGCTCCCGCCCCTTCCCAGCAGCGGGAGACTGCAGGGGCTCTGGAAAAGAGGCTGGACACAGACTGGAGAAGAGCTACACTTCCCCTCTAGCCCCCACCCCCACCCCGTGCCAAGCCCACAGTGCCCCCCCGTGGGCCTGGCACCAACTCCAGGGCCATGGAGAACCTCTCCCTCCCGGAACTCAATTCCTCATGTGTGGCTGGACCCAGGGGCTGCACAGAGGGAGGGGACGGGGGGCTGAATACATCTACTCCCCAGCTGATTCCCAGCTTCTACATCACCGTGCCTGTCATCTACTCCTTCATCTGTGCTGTGGGGTTGACAGGCAACAGTGCTGTCATCTACGTAATCCTTAAAGCTCCAAAGATGAAGACAGTCACCAACATCTTCATCCTGAATCTGGCCATAGCAGATGAACTCTTCACCTTGGTGCTACCCATCAACATTGCCGACTACCTACTCCTACAGTGGCCTTTTGGTGAGTTCATGTGCAAGCTCATCATCTCCATAGACCAGTACAACACCTTCTCGAGCATCTACTTCCTCACTGTCATGAGCATCGACCGCTATCTGGTTGTAATGGCCACTACCAAGTCCAAGAAGATGTCCTACCGCACCTACCGAGCAGCCAAGATAGTCAGCCTCTGTGTCTGGTCCTTTGTCACTGTCATCATTCTGCCCTTCACCATCTTTGCTAAGGTACACAAGGAGCAGGGGCGCTCCCAGTGTGTCTTTGTGTTCCCCCACCCGGAAAGTGTGTGGTGGAAAGGCAGTCGGATTTACACCCTCATTTTAGGCTTTGCCATCCCAGTGTCCACCATCTGCATCCTTTACACTGCCATGCTGTACAGATTGAGACACATGCGCCTCCATAGCAATGCAAAAGCCCTGGACAAAGCCAAAAGAAAAGTGACCCTGATGGTGGTTGTCATCCTGGCTGTGTGTCTGTTCTGCTGGACGCCCTACCACCTTAGTACAGTGGTGGCCCTCACTACAGACATCCCGCAAACTCCGCTGGTCATTGGAATTTCCTACTTCATCACTAGCTTGAGCTAYGCCAACAGCTGCTTCAACCCTTTCCTATATGCCTTTCTGGATGACAGTTTCCGGAAGAACTTTCGCAAACTGCTAGAATGCAGAACTACCCAGTAGAGCCCATCCGCCATCCCCTCCTCTGTGACTGTCATCTTACTGTCAGCAGGTGACCCCAGCCCTGGGAGTGCTTTTGCTCCAGAGTCCTTGTGACAGCCACCAAACTGTTGCACTTCAAGGGCATAAGCTGGGAATGGACAGGTCCTTCTCAACTTTCCTGAATTCATTTCTTCAGTAATCCTCTCTATCCCTTTCCCCATGTTCCTTCCTTCCTTCCTTCCTTCCTTCCTTCCTTCCTTCCTTCCTTCCTTCCTTCCTTCCTTCCTTCCTTCCTTCCTTCCTTCCTTCCTTCCTTCCATCTGATGTGTTTTCTGTCTGGTTGTAGCATGCGGAACTGGAGCAAGTCCCTTCCACATTCTAAAAGTTATTGTTTATTGAACTCAAGCCATGTGACTGCCTATATTACTGGAGATTTGGAAAGCCAAATAAAGATGTTACTGACTGTCTTGCCTCAGCCTGCCCCCTCTATGTCCTGTTCACCAGCAATACTGATAAAGACACAACTCTTAAGGGATTCAATCAATGCATTGAGCTCMTTTCCTTTCACAGGGAACTGACCTAGGTAATCAAAAATTCCCACAAACAGGAAAGAAAGACCTCAGTTTGGCTTAATGGAAGAAAGAGTAAGATCTCATTAGTGAATAAAATAAATAGAAGTGGGTTATCTGCCACTTGCTGTGGAAAATAGCACAGCAGTGTCTTTTGTGGCATAGAATTCTCAGGTTTGGTTTGCACTAGAACTGGTATTTACTTTTGTATTCATAAGGTACTTATGGAAATTCTTCTTCCAACACCTATGTTTCTTTACACAAGTTATCCTCTGAGAGTTTGGAAGGGACCTGCTGAAACACGGGAGGAAGATTCTGACTTCTTTCCAACAAATCATAAATAATATAGGGAATTCTTGGCTTCCTTTTATGAGTTTTTCATATGTTTGTGCTCTACTTGCTAGTAAGTGTTATKAAGATTTATCTTAAGGAAGATAAAAGATTATTTTTTAAAAAAAGAGAGAGAGCTTCATTTGTACTGGGAGGAGAAAGGGCTGAAATTTTTACTAGAATTCACCTATCTACAYAATATAAGAAAAGCCTTTCCTGTTCTCCTCTCTTTTGGTCCTCTGAAGAAAATAAATAAATAAATAAAAGCCCAACTTGTAAGACTGTGAAAATGAAGACAGTCACTTAAAATTTCTAATCGTAATGGTATTCCTTGTCCTAGCTAATAGACACTTCAGCAGCTACAGCCATGTGTCATTAAAAACCGCAAAGCTCCAGAAGTGTGGGATAGATAGTGAACAGTGAGGTGACTGCATGGCAGAGCATAACTGGCTGCATGGCAGAGCTCAGAGGGTGGTGATCAGTGATGCACAATCTAGTTGGAGGCCTCTAGTTAGCGGTGTCCCCCAGGGGTCAGTCCTTGGTCCAGTCCTGTTCAATTTATTCATCAATGACCTGGATGAAGGGATGGATCAGCAAACTCGCTCCCTCATCGAATTTGCTGATGATACCAAACTGGGAGGAGCAGCTGATACCCCAGAGGCCTGCACTGMCATCCAGAGGGACCTGGAAAGACTGAAGTGCTGGGCGGTGAGAAACCTCATGAAGTTCAACAAGGGGAAGTGCAGGGTCCTGCACTTGGGAGGAATAACCCCAGACACCAGTACAGGCTGGGACTGACCTTCTGGAGAACAGCCCTGCAGAGAGGGACCTCGGCGTCATGGTTGATGACAAGTTGACCACAAGGCAGTAGGGTGACCTGGTGGCCAAGAAGCCAATGGGATCCTGGGGTGCATTAAGAAGAGCGTCTCTAGCAGGTCGAGRGARGTGATCRTCCCCCTCTACACAGCCCTGGTAAGGCCACATCTGGGGTACTGTGTCCAGTGCTGGGCTCTCCAGGACAAGAGGGATGTGGAGCTGCTGGAGAGAGTCCAGCGCAGGGCTACSAGGATGATCAGCGGCCTGGAACATCTGCCCTGTGAGCAAAGGCTGAGAGAGCTGGGCCTGTTCAGCCTGGAGAAGAGAAGGCTGAGGGGGGACCTGATCAGTGTCTATAAATACCTCAAGGGAAGCAGTGAGGAGGAGGAGGGGGCTGGCCTCTTTTCAGTGGTGGCCCGCGATGGGACTAGAGGAAAYGACCACAAGCTGAGGCACCAAAAGTTCCGCAGGAACTTAAGAAAACATTTCTTGACAGTGAGGGTRACAGAGCCCTGGAACAGGCAGCCCAGAGAGGTTGTGGAGTTTCCTTCTTTGGAGATCTTTAAAGCCGCTTGGACACAGCCCTGTGCCACGTGCTCTAGGTGACCCTGTGTGTGCAGGGGAGTTGGACTAGATGACCTCTGAGGTCCCTTCCAATCTTAACCATTCTATGATTCTATGATTCTATGATTCTATGATTCTATGATTCTATGATTCTATGATCGGAGGCCTGGAACATCTGCTCTGCAAGGAAAGGCTGAGAGAGCTGGGCCTTTTCAGCCTGAAGAAGGGAAGACTGAGGAGGGTTCTGATCAGTGTCCATAAATACCTGAAGGGAGAGATTTCTCAGTGATGGCCTGTGATAGGACAAGGTGTAAGTTGAAACACAGGAAGTTCCATCACTATATGAGGAAGAACTTCTTTCCTGTGAGGGTGACAGAGCACTGGAACAGGCTGCCCAGGGAGGTTGTGGAGTCTCCTTCTCTGGCGATCTTCAAAGCCCGCTTGGATGCCACCCTGTGCCCTGTGCTCTAGATGACCTTGCGTGTGCAGGGGCATTGGACTAGATGATCTCTAGAGGTCCTTTCCAACCTTAACCATTCTGTGATTCTGATTCTGAGTGAGGAGGATCAGGCCAGCCTCTTTTCAGTGGTGATCAGCAACAAGACTAGGGGAAATAGTCACAAACTGAAGCATCAAAAGAAGTTCCTGAGCAAGTTAAAGAAAAAATTCTTGACAGAGCTCTGGAACAGATTGCCAAGAAAGAGATTGTGGAATCTCCTTTTCTGGAGATCTTCAAAACTCAATTGGATGCAATCTGGTGCCACATGCTCTAAGTGACCCTGCATATGTAGAGGGGTTGGCAAGATGGTTTCTAAAGGTCCCTTGCAACCTTAATGATTCTATGATTCTTTTATTCTATGGTTAAGATTGTACTGCGAGATATTCAAGATTTTTCATGCATGAATTACAAGATTTCAGACTTCCAGAGTAAGTCCTGTGCTGGATCATCTTGCTAAAACTGGGAAGATTTAGCTATTCATAGAACCTGCTAAAAGTAACTTGCAAAAAGTCACTAAAATACTTACATGGAGAGTTGGTCTATTTTGTGATTAATAGCACAAACTCTGACTAAGAAAGAATAGTTAATCTTCCAAAGTAGATATTTGTGAAAATACCTCAATCCATATTCTCTGAAAATGGAATATATTGGCTTACTAGTATATATATCATATTCTCACCTTTCATATGAGCATGGTAACTAAGTTGAAGAAAGAAGGCTGAGTTTCTCTGTGCATTCTTGGAAAGAGTAATAGCACTGATTCAGTTGCACTGAAAGTTGTGACACTAATATGTGGGAGTATCCTGGGTGCATTCCTTTCATATGCTGCCTCTACACCTAAGCCATGCAGTAATGTGAGTGATGTTGGCAAACACTAAGTTGGTGTACCACATATTTTTGATATGTATTCCCACTTCCTCTAAGTGAGGCAAGCAGAAACAGTAAACCACAGCATTTCCACTCACTCAGGAAGGAGAGAACAAGAATTCCTATRGCCCCAGCTCTGTTTTGTAGATGTCCCTTGAGAATCTCTTGCAACTGGTTTCTTCCCACTGTTGCAGTCTGAATTTCTGCCTAGACATTTAGAAAGTCTTTCACCAGGCTGCTGCCGAAGAAACCCCAGATAAAAATTTACATGCAGATTTCAGTGATTATACAAACCAGAGTGCATTATAATTTCATAAAACTGGGCTGATGGTTAAATCATTTCTCCTTATGAGCCACTAATGTTCTCTGAGATAGTCAGTGCTAATTTCAACAGCCGCTCTAGCTGTAAAGGAAATGGAAGGATTCCTTTGGGGGACAATGACATTTTTAAGAGCCTAATTCTGCTTCATTAAAGTCAGTGGGAGGCAAGCGATTGAGTTCCATCAGACCCAGAAGGTGGCCTTTGGAAAAGTAAGTCTGGAAGGTGTAGTCTGCCCATTTCCACAACATGTACAAGAGTGTGCTGCAGGAACTGCTGTCCCCCAATTCATCTTTCTGCCTGAAATAAAAGAARTTAACCAGCTGCCTTTGGTTTCAGCTAGGCTTGTAAATTGTAATGATCTTTCTTCTTGGTCAATCACTTGCTGCACAAAAAGATCTGTATGCATCTGCCAGCTTTGTCATGTGTGCTTTCTGTGTATGTGTCGCAGACTAAAACGAAAAACAGTAGCAAAGACTGTTTTCTCTTAGACTAGTGGTTTCCATGAGCATTGTCTTTATTTTGTGTCCTTGCACCACCATCATATCTACATTATTTATATGAAGGCAGGAGACAGTTTTAAAAGTAAATGGCATAATTTACAGAGCAGACATTTCCGAGACAGCTGTTCTAGCACTGATTGCTGATCCTTCTCTGAAGCTTGAAGAATGCAAGCAAAATACAATTTTCTGTAAACAAAATCACCTTAAAGAGGCATAGATTTCATGTTTCTTCTGATACCATCCACCTGAAAATTTTGATCAAGCTGTCATCGTATTTGTTTCATTCCCTGTTGGGGCTTCTATTTAATTCTGATATGTGATTGATACTCAGGTAGTTGCACTGTGCTCCCCTGAAGCCCAGCCTGTACCTCTGCATCAAATGCATCTCTGTCATACTCAGCTGATATTAACAGAGGTTACAAGGACAATCTGATTTCTATTTCATTTTTTATCTGATTTTGAACACTAAAATTTTTACTGTTCCTAAGCAATATAACCTAGTTCAAGAGAAAAAAAAACAGTACAGAAACTACACCAATTTAAAAATATTTCTCTGATTTGAGCAACA